TTCTTTTAAGTCTAATTAAGGCTAAGTCTCGTTGCTGCGCTGCTCGCAGGCGGCGGCAAAGAGCCCTCTGAAGTGGGAGCGCGAGGGATGTGCACATGTAGTCCGTTCGTGTTACATTTATGCCGACGCTAGCACTTTCTGTGTGCTAAGCCATAGTGATCGGTTCATATTTCGGCCACTTAGGGTTTATGACCGGCACCTTGAATTATGTAAACACTGCAACAAAGTGTTACAATGCGTACCATTTAAGTACTCTCGGTACAGTGGGTATTCAAGATGAGTGCATACTACACTTGCATTCTGATAGGAAATACCTAGGGAGTAGGTTAATTTTTTGGGTCAGGATTGGAAGACGTAGAAGACGCAGTAGCATGATCAGGCCTGGGAAGAGTTATTCCTACAGGCCGCTTTTTCTTTTTCTTCGCCTCGAACTCCTTAACAACTATGTACTCTGGCCAGAAGTTGGGAGAGCAAATAGTGTTAAAGAGTTCGTTAGGGACAGTTGTTTTGAAAGATGAAATGTCCCTTGCGTAAGAAAATTTAAACTTTTCCACCTTTATCTTAATTTTTTCGGCTCTGGTTTTGCCTTGTATAAAGGCGAGAACATCTTCCGATGTTTGGTCAGGGGAGAGCCGCGAGACAAAAATATGTCTCGTTGGTGGAACCGCTATAAGGGCTTTTGGCAAGGCAGATTGGTTATCTGCCGTGCCATTGTCGGCCGGTATTCCGGGCCTAACACCCTGGGCAGATATATCTTTAAACACGGGACTTTGAGGGGTTAATAGTTGCGACCCCCCAGGGGACAAAACAGATATCACCGGCGGTACGGCCACTCCCGCTGCACATTCGGGTACCGAATCTTTTCTAGCGCTCGGTCTCAGCACTCTTGGAATTAATGCTGAGGTCGAGGGCTGTGCCGAGAGAGGCTGCTGCTGAGAGCCCGTTTCAGGTAGTTGGGGTCCGTCTACATGCTGCCCACCAGTAGCAGTTTTTTTGCGCCTAGGAGACTCATTTAATGGCATAAGGCTATTAAATTGGGTGTCCAGCGCCAAGAACATATCAAGAGTTTTGAGAAAACTCGTTAAAATGCCCTTGAAACCGCTTTTGGTTTGCCGCATGAAAGACATCATCTCCCTTTCTACATCGCGACAGGCCTCACAACAGAAACGCAGGCCGTTGTTTTTTTTTACATCCTCCACCGTCCGAGCTGCAACTCCAATACACTTGGCGTGCATGACGTTGTCGCACAGCCAGCAGCCGATTGTAAGGTCACCTGCAGCAATTGCCTTTTTGAAGGTTTTGACGAAACAGACAATATTTCCGGATATTATAAGGACTTACCACTGTACTTGTACTTGGAAAAAATAACAACAGAGCTATAAAGAAAGAAGTGAAGAGTCACAGCGAGAGCGAGAGAGCGATTGAGATCGAATAAGATAAGAAGTGCAGCGGCACAGCTAAAGTGTGTGGGAGAGCGTGGGAGATAAGTAGATAAAACGGTTAGCTGTTGCGACGGCGCAAACAAAAGCTAGACGAAGAAGGCACAAAAAGGAATGCAAAATATGCAAAAGCTAACACTAGCAGCACAACTAAATTGAAAAATAAAACCAATTATATACACAAATTAAAATAGCTGCATGCACACGCGAAGTGAACGGGAAGTTATAAACACAAATTAGAAAATTTAAGTTAACCCCGGTGGTTAGATTCAAACTTTAATACAAAACGAAAGCGCAAGAAAAAAACACGTCCGTTCACTTGGAAAGAGAAAGATTTTTGTGATTTATGTGAGTATGGGTCTTACAACGCTGTGTAGAGCCATATTATTATCTTGGGGTGGATGCCCCAGTTTTTTCTAAACATCTTCCTGCAGGATTAAAATGCTATGCAAGCTTGTTTGACTCTTTCGTTGATGTTTTGTTTCCATGACAGCTTCGCATCGAGTATCACTCCCAGATACTTTGCTTGTTGCGATAGTCCTGATTCTTTTCCTTCTGTGTAAGGTTTTTTGAAATTGGGGATCTTTATTCCTTTTGTGAGAAGCATAAGCTCCGTTTTGCCTGGCTTGATGTTCAATCCGCAGGTTTTTGACCATGCATTGATTTGGCGAGTGCCCTTGTCATCAGTTCGCTGATGACGTCGGGGAAGGGTCCTGAAGTCGGTAGGACTACGTCGTCTGCGTATGCTACCACTTTTACACCTTCACTGTCAAGCGCTTTTAATATGCCATCCAGTTTATCAGCCATAGCAGCGGAGACAGAACTCCTCCCTGAGGTGTGCCTCTCTTCACAAATCTTGTGTGATAAGCGCCACTCAGTTCGGCTGTTATCTGTCTGCTCGTAAACCTTGCGCCGATCCAGGTTCTGATGGCATCTTCAACTCCTACCTTGTTTTTTTTTTTTTGGCTTCGTTGCTTGTATTAAAAACTTACCTAACCTTTTTTCTGAGTACGCTTAGTTCTTTAATCCACCATTGTGGGTATGTCTTTTTTGAGTACGTGAGTCTGCACAACTCCTTTTACGCGTTGTTGAGAATGTTTCTGAAGTCCTCGACGCCCTTGTCGAGTTTTCTGTATCATCACGGTAAAGTTTAAACTAGCTGTTAAATAGCTGGAAATATTTGAAGACATATTCGCACCAAGGTTTCTAAAATCACATAGAATTTCCAACTGATCCTCATTTTAATATCCCCATCTCAATAAATGGAGATTTTCGAACATGGAGAACTACCAATGAGCCGTACGGTAATTTGACATGGATAGAATGTAGAACATGAGCTAATTTTCTTACATGAGTTCATGACAATGCTTGCCTTTCTGACCCTTTCTGTGCAGTGTTAGCTCTATGCCGTCTATGTTGCTGTATATCGATATCTTTGTTCTTCGGGTAAAAAGGAATAATTCTGTTCTATTGGGATTGAAACCCTCTTCTCAGGTTCTCGCCCATTTCTTAGTTTACAGCATAACCCGAATAATGTCTCCTGATCCTGGGCTTTTATACTTGCGAAAGAATCGATTGCGATGTTTTCGATTTCTCGGCTTGACATCTACAGCTTGTCTTCATCGATCTCCACAGTTGATTGAGATCCCGAGTCCTGCCTAGGCCTCAGCAACTCCTTTTCGTCGATATTCAAAACTTTTTTGGGGTTTATCCCATAACGTTTCATAAACGCCTCGATTAACAGTTATTAATTTGTATACCCGTTAGGGTATATAGGTACAGCTTATCCCCAAAACGAAAATTAAAATAAATGCCAAGAGGAATTTTCGATTCTTAAAGTAAATATTTCTTTTCACTTCATAGAGTGTCCGTCAACCAAGAATATATCGGTAGAATCACTCAATTAAGAAATGGACTAAACCTAACCTATTAAAGCAAAAGTTTCTTCAACAGATTTTTTACGCCCTGTGTAATCTTGTAATCCATGCGCAATCTATTGGCTTGGTCCCCTTCTTGGTTCTTGACATCGGGCATGATACGTTATACGCGGCTTGTAATTCCTTGGAGGGGGTCTCTAGCAAGTCGAGGGTCTAGTGTATTGGAACTGAATGTTTTTGTGGTCTGAGAAGGGTTGTCTCTCGAGGCCTCTCCATTCTGATATAGTACCCTGTCTTGTTAATTTGTGGCTGTTAATTTTACCATTCTCGTCAAATCAGACGTCTGGCGAAACGCAGCAAGTATTGTTCCCCTCCGTGCCCGCTGGTATTAGCACTCATGCCTTCCAACCACTTTTGGATGACATCCTGGTTACTTTCTCCGGTTCATCCGAATTGGTGTGTTTTTGACAGGAACCACCCACTTAAGTTTTATGCCTACCATTAGGCACCCCCAGCCATGGCTCATGATTTATTTTCTACAGTTGTTTGGGCGGAAGATATTAAACCGAAGCCTTAGCTAGAAACTGCATTCCCCGGACAGAGCATGCGGCGATGCATAAAATGGCAACATCTTAAATTTGAGGAAAATATGTTGAAAAATTAAATAGTTATATTTTTTAATTTAGTTTATTTCTCCATATATTTATTAAGAAATTCTAGAATAATATAAAAAGGCGACATCTTAGATGTGATGAAAATCTGTGATAACTAAAAAGGTTATAATTTTTAATTGTATTAATTTCTCGATCGGTCCAATGCAGCTATATGATATCCGAGTATGATATACTCCGATTAAAAAAAAATTTACCCAAAATTGTAGAATGATATAATATGGCTGCATCTCAAATTTAATGAAAATCTGTGGAAAACTAAAAAAGTTATAAAATTTTATTGTATTAATTATTTGATCGTTCTTATGGCAGCTTTACGATCTAGCAGGCTGATTTTCATTAAATTTTACGAAAAAAAAAATTGTAGACAGGCCACAAAAATGAAAAAGTTTTAATTTTTATGTGGAAAATTTCCGATTGTTCCTATGGCAGCTTTATGATACAGTCGTCCGATCCGGCTAGTTTCAACATATATACACGTGAGAGTAAGACTAACTGCAAAGTTTCATTTAGATAGCTTCAAAACTAATAGACTAGTTTGTGTAGAAACGGACATATGGATAAGGCTAGATTCAGTCGGCTGTTGATGTTGATCAATAATTTATATACTTTATATGCGTTGCAAACTTCTGAATGAACTTATAATACCCTGCAAGGGTAGAATAAAAAGTGTACATTTGGAAGAGGACCAAATCCTGTTCATTGAATATCGGGTTGTCGGATTGAGATGACTAAATAGTCCTTAGAGGTAATATACAATTCACCTGTTTAAATTTTGGAAACGTTTTATTTTTACCTTCTCTTACGCACACTTTTTCCACACTAAAACAAACATATTTTTATTGTCATTTATGCAATTTATGATATGATTAAACATTGCTAAGCTTATTTTAAAGTTTGGTGCATTCATAGTACCATCAATACTTGGAAAACCGTTTAGAGTGATTCCGTTGTTATATACCATCAAACATAAGAAAATTATCTTTAATAAAAACATTTTTTCTTTTTTTCAGAGTTTAATATGAAAGAATTATCAACATTTCAAACAGACGAAAAAGGCTCGAAAGAGACCTCTTACCAAGAAATGAATAATTATTATTCGCTGTCGAAAACTGAAAAAGGACAAACGAAAGAGATTGCTTATGCAGAAATGCCAATTGAAGAGGCAAACCAAATTGAAATAGATACGTGCCCTGATGATCATATAAGTATCGACGACCTATTGAAATTTTCATGTAAAAATCAATGTCCTAAAGAATACTACAATTATAAAAAATGTGACTCCAGATTTTCAAATGCTCTGAGCGATCATAACTATACTTCACAAGAGGTAATAGATCAACCTAAATTAAAAATGGTTCGAGACTTACTTCTCAATGTAGTTGAACCCAATAGCTCCACAGAGATCGATATTCCAAAACATTTTTGGAATTTTCTTAAGAATACCATTAACGTCTTAAACTTATACAAGATAGTGTATAAAGATAATAAAAATATACATTTAAACCAATTTCAAAAAATTTCCACCACAGATAGTTCCCAAAATCGGAATACAGAAGGTATTAGGGAAAAATTTTCGGAGCCTTTAGAACTTAATCTAAATGACAATTATTTTATTAATGAATATAAGGACTTTGAAAACCAAAATGCTTTAAGTCCTTTATTAAAAAGCACAATGCATTTTGCCAAACAACTATACTACGAAAGTATGAGTTTACCATTGAAAACTGAAGATGAATTGAAAAACTTTATAAGTGAAAAAATAACAAAACTTCAAGAAATTGCTATTGGCGGATGTGTCGTAAAAAATAAATCGACAGATGTCAAATCAAAACATTCAATGAATAGGTATCAAACCAATATTGATCCCAACATGAATCTTCTTTCGACAACATCTGGATCTTCGGATACCGATATTGATTTCGAAAGCAGCTGTGACCAACTGAAAATAGAGTCATCTTGTGGAAAAAGTATGGTGCTTTGCGTAGAATCGCATAGAAGCTTATCTACTAAAATTCGAAATATACATGAACATTTTTATGATAATATTGATCTGTGCAGCTATATAAAACTGGATATAATTAGCAAGACACCTAGCAAAATATTTGACGATCATTGTAAACATAAATATTCTTGTTTGACGGACAACGATACTGATAAAGAAATCGAAAGGTATGTTTTTTAGTCTCCAGCATACATATATTTCTTATTTAAATTAATAAAAAAAGACTTCAATTGCTAATATACCAGTTAACCTTTCTATTGTGTCATTATCTTTATCTTTTACTTTTTATACTATTTCATTTTGAGTTACCATTTCGGTTAAGGTAAAAAGGGATATCTTATTTCTGTTCCATTTTTCATTTTTTGAGAGTAAGCCACCGCTCAAATGGTTTGTTCGCTCCTTGTACATTTAACTCCTTTTTTTGTTAACTTACCACTACTTTTAAAAATCGTTCATTTGGTAGACAACTTAGGTTAGGTTAAGTTGAACCGGACGGCCCTCCTATGTTGTTTTCACATGGACCTGGAGAGTCTATCGCGGTGTTGAAGTTCTATGGAATAGCTGTAGTTTTTGCGAAGGCAGGTAGTTCACCTGGCGACCTCTTGGAGGCATCTGGTAGTGATGCCAGTACTGGGGCACCTAGGTGTTTTACTCTTGCCTGCATTAGAGCTGGGCACTTACAGATGAGAGTTCCAATGTTTCCGTTGCCTCAGATTCATCGCATTTCCAGCAGTTGCCGTTCTTGTTGATGTCCAGCTTGACTGCATGCGCGGCAGCCAGCCAGTGACCTGTAAGAATTCCCACCAACACTCTGCATTCTATTCGGTATAGGTTCAGTACGTAGTGGCTGAGTTTATCATTGCGCTCCTCGAACATGATTTTTGATGTTTTGCAGGTTGCGGAGGTTCTTCTCCATCTGCTTTTTGTTTGTGCGTCCGCCCGCCTCTCCAACTCGCTTTAGTTGTGTTTTGCGTTTTTAGAGAGACTGGGACTTTTTCTATTTTATCGTTAGCCAGTCCGTCTCCTTCCTTTGCAAGTTCGTTTTGCGGTTTCGTTTCCATCAATACATTGGTGCCTGGAATATCTAGTGCTTAGGATATCTAGTGTGTCCCTGCTTGCCAGTAAATTTTTGGAACTGACCGCTGACGATTGCATGGATCTAATCGCCGCTTGACTGTTCACAAACAGGTTTACCGCCTCATACGGGCGATCTAGTGTCTGCGCAAGCTCTGCCGCCTTCCTGATGGCGAAGACTTCCGCCTGGAATATGCTGAATTGGCTTGGTAGCTTCCTTCCATCTTGGAGCCTTCAGGTCCTTAAATTTTGATGTTTTAACATCAGGGCAAGTTCTAGGTGTCATGTAGTCAAATATATTGCTCATAGTTTGACCAATTGAGCTGTGCCCTTATCCCTGTGGCGACAGTGATCTGCCAACATCGTTTCTGATGTATAGGTTCAGCAGCTTTTCTAGCGCCTTGAGTAGAAAGGAGGAAAGGCTTATCGGCCTTGGGACTGACGTGGTTGCTCTTTCCTGCTTTGGGCAGAAAGACAGTCCTCGAGGTCCTCCATTTGGTTGGTATATAGCCCGTACTTAAATAAGCTGTGTAAATTGCTTGTAACTATGACGTAATGACTTTTTTGGTTGCAGCATGGCTGGAAATATTCCCTATAGTCCTGGTGCTTTTATCCCTGTGGAGGAGTGTATAGCTCATTGAATTCTTTTTCTTTTGGGATCTTTTGGAAGATGCTCTTCCCGAGTTGCTGGTACCTGGAGCTCGTTGGCATTGTTGATCTCTATGCAGCCTGGGAAGTGCGCGTGCACTAGTGCTGTTAGTGTCTCTTCGCTGCCCTCAGTCCACTGCCCGTCGCGTTTGCGTTGACTCTGTATGGTGGGTTGCTTTGAAAGCAACTTCCGTAGTCTAGCCGATCTAGGGCCATCTCTATGTTAGAGCAGAAGTTCCTCTCGGCGGGGCGTTGGCGTTTGGTGGCAAGCATCTCCTCCATCTTGTTGGCGAAACTGACCGTTGATGCCATGTTTGGAAGCTTAGCCATCTCTATGTTAGAGCAGAAGTTCCTCTCGGCGGGGCGTTGCCGTTTGGTGGCAAGCATCTCCTCCATCTTGTTGGCGAAACCGAACGTTGATGCCATGTTTGGAAGCTTAGCGAAGTTCAGCCTGCTCTCTTCTATCCTTTGCTCGGCCCAGTTGAGCTTTACCTTCTCCGGCTCTGGATGCGAAGGGCAGCTTTATATTGCGCCTTAGCCTTCTTTCCCTCATTTGAGGGACGCTTCGCCCCGTTCCTTCGCGGGGAGCTGGTGCCTGGTTCTGGCGAGCAAATCAGGCTTTCATCCTCCTCTTTTGAAAGCTGAAAGCTCTCCAAATTCGAGTCTGTATAGACTACGGCACCCGTGCGGCTTAGCCTTCTTTGCGTTGTTATTCTGGCAGTAGCGTTACAACTGACGTGACCTGCCCCCGTCAAATCATAGGATTGCTCCCCTCTGTGCCCGTCGATGGTAGCAGTCACGCCTTCCACCGACGTTTGGGTTTGGTATTGACATCCCCGGTTGCTTCTCTTTTCTCCATCTATGAGAAAAAAGTTTTGTTAATATCCGGGGAACCAACCACTTACGTCTTATGCCTGCCGGCAGGTATCTCCAACCATGGCTAGTGGTTAATTTCCTCCGGCGTTTAAGAGGGACGAATTGAGCCGAAGCCTTAGCTAGACACTGCATTACCCCGGACAGAGCATGCGCCACTGCATTACCATTGTACGGGGTAAAACAATGCCCCCGTGGAGGATTCAGCTGGAGGATTTTTGCCAGCCGGCAGACAATTTAAATTAATGCAAAATTAACATGTCATAATGTAGATACAAATATAAATATTATTAAACTACATTTAATAATTGTTCATATGACAGAGAATTTATAATAATCGTATGAAAGATGCAAATATTTTGAAAACTGACAAAAAGGTATAATTTTTTCTTAAAATTGTCTGTCCTTTTCGACATGTTTGGTAGAGAGAGTATAAAGAAGACTACCTGTAAAGTTCCATTTAGTTAGTGTTCACACTGAACACGAGCATACTATGTGTAGAAATTGTATTTACAAACATTGAACCGCTGCAATAATGTATTGTCAAACACTTGTTTGCCTATATCTTAAAATATGAAACGCTAGAGATGTAGATGGAAGCGGTCAAACATTTCCTTAAACATTAGGAATATCGTGCTGTGGAGAATCCCAGCACTTAATATCGTTTCCCACGCTTGGGGAACATATGGCCACTGCATTGGTCTAGATAAGATTATGTAAACGAAGTAAATTTTAAGTTAGCTACCGAAGCTAGGATCTTAAGAAATAAAATTAGTTTGTCAATAAGTCAGCAGATAAGAACGTGTTTTATAGAGACGGACTTTCAGTTAGTTTGAGTTAGCTTGCGTATAATCGCAGATACGGACCAATAGACGGACATGGCTAGATAGACTAGGCGGTTAATGTTGCGTTGCAATCTTTTGACGAAAGTTATGATACCCTCAAAAAAAAAGAAAAATAACTACATAGACAAATGAAATAATAAAAACAATATTTACAAAATATTATTGGCTTTTAAGGAAACTAATAAATTAATATTGACTTCGTAATTAGACCCCTAGCCCACACCATAAAGTGAAGAAACTAAGTAAGCAAATAATTTTTTTAATTTTAAATCAATAATTTATTTTTATTGGACTTTGCAAACCTAACTTACAACCGCACTCAGATCTCTAGGATATTCAGTATGTTGCATAAAGGGCGTTGATTGTCACACTAAATATTCATATAAATATCTCCCAAAGACGGCCCCGACAAGGAGTCGTCCCTTGTTTTTTTTTATTACCATTGCTATGTACTTTTAAAATTATACATTCTCATAGGATCCAGATCATATGAACCCTAATAGGATCGCTTCTGCCCAAGTGCGGAAGGAAAAAATGATGGAGAGAAAAAACCAACCTTCCTGGCAGTCATCGAGACTGTGAGTCGAAACCCTATCAAAACAGACAGTAGTAGGAACATAATATTTAAAGAATGCTGAATAACTCTAAAATATATATCTACCCTTCAGTACCAAAATTCCTTTCCCGTCCAATTCCTGGCGTCCAGGCGAAACAAAGTAGGCAATGAAAATTGGACCTATGTTTGGCTATTGGCATTGTTCAGACTTTATATTTGTTGCTATTTTCGAAGGGATTCGGAGCATTTGCAGCTCTTAAAACAGCTGAAGTATTCACAGGGGTTTTATAGCCTTGCAGGGTGTTTGGAGGGGGGCGATCTTGCCGCTAAAGATCCTGTATTAAAAAATTAGCTCCCGCGACGCAGTCAGAAAGTATGATAACCCGTAGTGGTTAAAATGATAAGTAGGGGGCGTCGTGGAACTCGAAATGATTGCTTCCGCTTTATTACGCATCGTACATAGTACTAACTAGCTTGAACATAAGGGCTGCGCTCCTGACCGATAAGCTAAGCTTAACAGTGCGAGAGCGGGCCCGAGAAGTGAAGCGCGAACTAGCCGTCCCTCAGCTCGCCTAGTAGCGAGCGAAGCTCGGGAACTCGGGAGCGGCCGTTCGCGAACATCGAAGAGTGGGCGCGGGAGCGCTTAGACTAGCCCAATGAGCAGGGCGCGAAGAGCCGACTTGCGGGAGTGCAAGAGCGGTAAAGCTTTGGAAACTCGGTGGGCAGATGCGGCGCCGCGAAGGGCCTCCTGACGTGAACACAGGGTATTATAATTTCAGTCAGGATAAACAGCCGAGTCGATCTAGCCATGTCCTTCTGTCCGTCTGTTCGTTTCTACGCAAACTAGTTTCTCAGTTTTGAAGCTATCTGAATGAAACTTTGTAGTTAGCCTTTTATATACTCTCACTCATATATAAGTCGGAACGGGCCAGATCGGACGACTATAAAATATAGCTGCCAGAGGAATGATCGGAAAATGTTTACAAAAAAATTTTTAACATTTTCAGTTTTCAATAGAATTGGATCAAATTTGAGATATAGCCATTTTACTATACTCTACAATTTTGCATAAAATTTTATGAAAATCGGACTACTATATCATATAGCTCCCATAGGAACGATCGAGAAATTAATACAATTAAATTTATAACCTTTTCAGTTTTCAACTGAT